TCTTCCGACCTCATCGCCTTCGACCCAAGTCTACTTGATTGGTCTCCCATCACTGAAGGCGTTTCTTCCGATTTCAGGAAACTCATCTACTTTTACGATCTCCCTTTTGGCGCTTATAGAATCGACGTCCTTTCGATCGGCGAACCGATTGAACGCGACATCTTTTCGGTCTGTAATTCTGCCGGCGTGGATTTTGAGGTCGTGTCGCCTTACAGAACTGATGAACCTCGAAACAAGACCCTTATGGAGCTTTTTCGGAATCACCGTTATTTCGAGATTACTGGTTTTGGTCCTGAGGACTTCATGGGTGATAAGACTCTCAATGTGAGGTTTGCTGTGTTGAATACGGAGGATCCTATTCTCTGACGTTCTCACAGAACTGCACAAAAAAACAGCCCCCTTCTCCCGACAGCTTTCTTTCCGGCCCCGCTTCAGCCACCCGCACTTGTTTGGCGCTCGTGCCTTCCCCGCTCCAGCCATATTACACCCGGCTCGCCCCTTTCTAACATACCGCACTCCTTTTTTGTGCACCCGCGAGGGGCGGTCGAAACCGGTCAAACCCGGTTCTTTCCGGTTCTTTCCAGTAGCCGCGGCCGCCTTGCGTGGCTTTGCGCTGTGCGGCGGTGCCTCTGTTGTTAGTAGTATACAGGGTATGAAACAAATACTATTTCAAAGAGGGGGCTGCATTTAACCGTTTCGCAGCCCCCAGCTTCATCCAGCCCGAGCTTGTGAGGGCTGGACTTGAATGTGGGGGCTGCGATAAGGTAAAATAAAGCCCCCTCTGCGAAATGGTATTTGTTTCATACCCTGTATACTACTCAATAAAACAAAAAAATCTATTAATCCACACACTTCCATAAACCCGAAAAGCTGGAAACATATTTTTTGAAAGAATACCGCATTAATTAATTACTAGATGCAATCGTTTCCCGATGAATTTTATCTACAACAGAAGACTGAAACATTTCATTTCTATTTGCGAATATGGCACCGCTTTTAGGTACCCATACGGAACAAAATTGAAATTTGAAATGTTGGAACAGTAAACTCAGGGCCTAGCGCTTACTGACAACGAAAATTAAACAAGTTCAGTTGTAATTTGGCGAGTATAAAGGTTTTAGGCTTGAAAAAACCAGGAGATCTACGTTCAAATTGTTAGTATTTTATCCAGCAGGCACATAGTCAATCGTTTTATCAGACACTATGCCTGTTACGTTAAAATTGTTTTCTTCCGGTCGAATATACCAGCTAAAAATGCAGGTATTTGAACCAAGCATTACAAAATAAATCTCGGCACTGCGAGACAAGAAATAAGACTTACCTTAGCATATCATTGCTAAACTTTCCTTGAAAACATTATTCCTACAGATGACGCATTGATTTTTAGATAATTCTCGGCAAACTGGGTCTTCCAAAGGTGTTCTTAACTAATTGAGACATTGAAGCACAACAGAAAATGCAAATTTGTGGCTTATATTATTCGCTGTGAATAATCGCATGCAGTGTTTATATTTGACAGTTGTTTTAATGTATTCGTCATTTTACTGAAGTAGCTAGCCATCAAATGAAATTTTCCGTCAGTAACAGTTAAGAAGACCTGAACACCGGTTTGAATATAATGACAGTTGTCTAAGCAAAAGATTTTTTGTTCGTTTAGACAAGGCAAGCCGTAAACTTAAAATACGAGTTTTTGTTGTCTAGCCGGCCACTGTGCTCTTTAATAATCATTGTACGTCGCTCATTTGTGGCTATTTCTACCAAACACGTAATTAGTGCATTCAGACCATTGCTTGTCAACATTTCAGCAAAGAAAACGAATCTTGTTGCATGAAATGATACAGTATTTCCCTTTGGATCGGAAAAATATTTTAAGGTAGTTTTATTTATTGATATATAGACTAGCCATATTTACGGCATAGCTGATCAATTTTGAATTTCTATTTATTTTTGCAGAGTAAATAAAATTTGTGTCATTAATTTCTCGTTGATAAAGAGCGAGGATGTGTATTTTTCATTAAGTGAAAGGAATAATTTATTTTGTCGTCAAGTTCGCGAAAATATACTTTCGAAAATAAAGAAAAGCAAAGTCATTGTTAAAACAAAAGAAATTATAACCGTGGTAATATTTAAAAATGTGTTCTTAATCCCACTCTTTTTTTATTGGAATATCGTTTCTCCGGCAAAGGCTGAATATTCTTATTTTTCTGCCAATTTTAATTAGGCTGAAAATATTCTTGTGAATATTCTTAGATTAATTGAATGAATACAAAGTGGACTTTGCGGACAGAACGTCAGATTATCTGTCCTATCACGACTTTGATGGCCGGCGTTGAAGTAGTTTCGGAGCCAGCTGCGGGCAATACAGCCTGATATGATGCACACAACTTCTTGCAGAAATGCTACTAGCATCGAACATACCGCTAGTGCTGAGTTTGCTGTTTTTTAGCTGGTTTTACCGTTTAGGGAAAGGAAGAATTTTACACGGTTTAGTTAAAAACATAGAATTGTATTTTATTTGCAAATTTTCAACCCACTTCAGCTTCATTCAATCCATCAAGTTGTTTTTCCTTTCGGTCAATACGTGTTACATCAAGTTAAGACAAATATGAATGAATGGAGAAGGATTGTAAAAACCTTTATAGGCTTTTACAAGGTAGGCTACCTATAAATCACCTTAATAAAGAAATATCTAATAAATTTGGTATCAGTATGCTTATGTGATAATTATTCCAAATCAGCGCGTGAAAATCGTAACCTAGTACTAATTTTAGATTACAATTAACGAAAATTCAGTCTGATGGTAAAACTGTTAATCCTTGTTTGAAATAGCCTCGGACTGGGTGATTTTATGTGGTATAGTGCTCCGTATATTAATTACTTTGTTTCTTGTCGAGTAAAAACACCCACAATTGTCCTATTAAACTTTTTGTGTAGATTATTAGACTTGCTTGTATAATATTTATGAACTCGAGTATTTTCTGCATGTACAGTAATCTTTGAAATACATTGTGAGTGAAAGATTGAAACTGAAAGTGCTAACAAGAAAATCGTTAAATTTTTTTTTATGTCTAATAAAATCAGTTTTTGAAGAAGTGGACGAGAGGGAGCTTTACATGATGAAAATGTAACTTGCAATCCCTTCTTTTGGCGTTTTAGCAAGTTGAATAATTGTTCAGTTGCCCAAACAATATTACCATGATGGAGAAACGGATGAATCACGCTACATTACACAAACTTTTCAGAAGAGGCAGATTAACATAAAAGCGAATTCTACAGAGAACACCTAAAGTTTTCGAGATTTTAGTTGCAACATGTTCAATATGACTTTTCCATGTTAAGCGCTGGCCAATTATTATTCTAAACCTTGAGTTTATTCTTAAAATATTCTTTAAGATTTTAACGGTTTTATTTGACTGTTTTCTACTAAAACATTTTGTTGTTTAGAAGAACCTCAAACACTCGAGACAGTGTGATATTTCCAA